GCCTGAAAACCTGCCTCAACTAGCCAATACGAAGCGGAGCCGCGGGACGAGAACAATGATGTAGTTCAACACTTCAGACCAATATAACCTGCGACCTGCAACCGGCCCTCATTTTAATGGATAGATCCGCCGTAGAGCCCTGGGAAAAGATAAGACATTGAGCATATCAACGATCAGCGTTCAGCAGCAAAATGGCGCGATCGCCACTTACAGTACTTTGCCGTGTATTTCACGGACAGGACGGGGGAGCCCTGCGTGCACTGGACAATCAAAAACAACTGTTAGCACACGATACGTATGCACATGTACAAGACACTCTGAACGCACCGAAGCGGGTGGCTGCCCGCCGACAGTATCGATGCGGAAGATCTCGTTCGCCAAGTCGCCCTCCACCGCATTAATGCTCAGCCAGTCAACATTCGCGCTCCCGTCGGGGCTCGGGATATCCCCTGCCCTTGCGCCCACGACGAACGCGTCCGGGTTCCCCGCAAATTTCCCCGCGGTGAAGTCCCACTCCGGGCTCACGCCGCTGCCCGTGATCGGGTTCGTGACATAGTAGTGATACCCCAGCACGTATGGCGTGGTCCCCAGCTCCGCCTCGACGTCCGCCGGCGTCGCGGATGCGGGCGCGGCTACCCACGCGTCGTACGCGACGGTCTGGGCGTCGGCGAAGCCGGAATAGCCGTACAGGCACGAGGCGTCGAACAGCGTCGCGACTGCACCGATGTTTCTGTGTGCATCTTGTGTCAGGAGAGAGAAGGGGGAAAAGAGGCGGGCGCGTACGTGTATGTGGACGTGCTCGAGCACGTGTAGTTCTGCACGCCGATAGCGAGGCCGATGAAGGAAGGCCCGCCACTCGGTGCGACAAGAGCCGTCTGATTGGCAGGGAGGTCCATCTTCGCGTTGGAGATATTGCAGGAAGTCCCTCGAGCTGAAGGACGTGCGACGACACCTGCAGTTGCGGCGAATGCGAAAAGCAGCATGTTTGACTTGAAAGAAACCATCTTCAAAGCGTTATATGGTTGCCTAAATGCACTTGTCTGTCGAGGAAGGGGCGTCCGACGAGTTGGCAAAGCCGCGAAACTGCTTATATAGCTCAGCAAGATTTGGGGTTGACAGGGGTCCGTGGTGTCCGGAATCCGAAGTGTCATGGACCTCAGACGGCGACCAATGCCGCTCGACTGAAAACACACGAGCGTACCGTCTCGGCTATTCGCAACATTGCATGCCAATGAGCAGTCACCGGCGAATGCGTAGCTGCGCTCAAGTGACACCTGCCGTACCTGGAATTGTGGCTCTTGAGAATGCTTGTAATGCACTTTGAAGAGGCCGGACACTCACCGGTGACCAAAAACACTGCATTTCCCCGCACATGTCGCTACAAGGTCATGCCGTCGTGTGGAAGGGTCGGGCGCTGACCAGTAGCCCGCAGTCACCCGCACAGGGGATTGCGTCCTTTGTTATTGCGTTCCGGGCTTGACACATGCATGCGCAGGCGACCTAGCGAGCACGCGCTGCGTGGCGAAATTTGCCTGTAATGTATTCGCGGTCCGTCTAGAGCGCAACGGCGGGCATCGCGAATACGCTGCGAGAACGGTCACAGGGACACGACTACAATCGCCGGCTAGCGGGAAGGCCATAGCAGGAGCAACGGAACGACACCGTGTAGTCTGTGAAAGTTCCTGAGGGGGTCTGGGCATTCTCGCTGACTGGACAGCTCAATGGGCCACGGGCGAACTCACGAGAATGTTCGAAGTAAACAGGCCTTCATTGGCGATACAATTTGGCATACGTATCGCGAACCCTGCTGCGATTCAGTGGCGGCGGTCGAAATGGAGGGATCGCTGGCTCTAGTGCCTCGTCCGTTTTCGTGTGCTGCCGCTCCGCCCGCGGGCGTCAGCTGCATGACCACGCTGGTGGCATTTATGCGGCGCTTCTCACTCGTCCTAACTGTGGACGCGGCCTTTTGAGCGGGCTTAAGCAAGGGTTAAAGACCTGCGAGTTTGTAAGTTATGTGTACTACAATAGATGTGTAAGTGCATACCGGAGGGCCCTTGGCTTTGGGTACCACGGCCGAGGAGCTAGCAGCCGCGGATGTCGGGCGGTTCTCTTTGAGTGATGCGCTGGAGGACTGCACAATTCATTAGAACCGTTGATGCGAATTTAGTGGCCGACTTACAGCAAGGGCGTTGACCGGCTCTTGAGTTGCAGTCGTGACCACCTTGCGCTTCTTCTTGGCGGGCTGCGCGACAATTAGTAAACTGAGTATAGGCGAAACGCGTCGACGTACCTTGCCGCTACTCGCCCCGTCGTTCCCGTTATCCAGCACACGCTTCTTGCTAGCGACCTGTAATGCGATGATGTGAGCGACACGGACGCGCGGAAGACGCGTCCACTAACCTTCTTCGACGCGTCGCCTGACGTCGCGTTGTCGACCACAGTCGGCGCGCCTTTGGATTCAAGCTTGGGCAAGCGTACTGGCTTGGGAACGCGCGGGAAATGGCCCGTGATCTTGTCCATCGTAGCAGATGGTGGGACGAGGGAAAGGGAGGGCGACGACGACGAGGACCATGCCCAGATGAATATACACGGGCCCGATGGGGACGCGGGGTCCGTGCGCCCTCGACATACGCGTCAATTACCGGCAGTCTGGTCGGGGGATCGTCGCTCGGCGCGTGGCACAGCATTTCCTGGCGTTCCAGTGTAAATCATCGTCCGTGATTTAAGCGTCTCTCGTGCTGCCGTCAGTCGAGACGACTTGGCGGCAGGCGAGCGTGCCAGCAGCGGGGCTATAGAAATGTCAGGAAAAGTGAATACAAATATTCGAATAAATGACTTGCCGGCACCGCAAGTATCTCGATTCGTCGCGCATCGTTGAGTCTACAGGCGACAGTCGAATTTCATTGTCGAGGACGTCGAGCAGACGCATGTTGGTCGAGGTAGATGGAGGTGCTGGCGAAGATGTATTAAGTGGGTGGTTGAAAAGGAAGCGGGGCTGGTGAAGCCAAATTTACCTCGTTGATCTGGGCGTGTCCCGTCCTTGATTAGAGACGCGTTCGAGCGTGTTTTTGGCGTTTGAAAGTGCGAGACGTTGGGCGTTGGTGGAGGCGCGGACCTTGGACGTGGGTGTATGTTTCTGACATGCACATCCGAGTTCCGCTCCGACGACGAGTGCGCGAGTGCGTTCGACTCCCCTCCCTCTGCACTTTGTCTGATCGTAAAATACACTCGCGTAGTACGCACGAGCAAAGCGTTTGAACGAGGGAGAGTGGATTTTTTCATTTTCAAATTCCATGTTTTTCTTCCCCTTTGTCAGTTTTTGACCGTTCTCGCTCG